TCTTTACGAAAAATTACCAATCTATCCTTTAATGTGTATCACATGCAACGTGACTTAAATTGATAGAAAATTGAATGTAGTAGCTTCGAATCTAGTAAAATATCTCCCAATTGAAATTATCAAATCGCTTTTCTCGTTCTTAGTTTCGTAAAATTTTAACTGTAACTCCAAATTCACTTTTGCTTGCGCTGACGTGATCGTATTGTCGAGTGCTACAAGAATACGCTAAAAGACAATTTTGTACGTCCCACTATACGCTGGTCCACGAAGGTCAACACTCTCGCCTCTAAAGACATTTTCGTCAATTCACACTTTTAAAATTTATAAAATTGTTGAACTAAAGGCGGGTTGTCACATTCATATAAAAAATGGATGGATAACTAATAAAAAGTTTCTCACAAACATTTTCTTATTGAAAAACACTTAGACAAGTTCACTTATTATTAAGAATATTTTTTAGATCACAAGGATAGAAAACAAAAAGAGAGTCACACTACATGAGGTTTTGAATTAAAAGAAAATGTATTCTTAATATTAAGGAAATTATCCTTAATAATAAAAAATGTGCCCTTATTAATAAGGGTATTTGAACAAAAAACTGTTTTATGAAGGGTTTAATTAATTTTTTATGTTAAAAACACTTATGAACATAATTTTTTGAGTAAATTACATAGTAGCCCCTCAAGTTTGAGATCTATTACAACCCCATACAACATCTTTAAAACATTTCACTTTCATACCTCACATACTATTTTATTTCAAAATAATACATTCGTTACATTTTCCATCCATTGATCCATTAAGTGCTAACGTGGTTGCCACATTTGTGCAACGTGGGAAATTTTTTTTAATTAAAAAAAAAACATGAATCTTCCAAATTAAAAAAAAAAACCAAAAACAAAAGCTGAACCCGCAACCCCCACCCACCCAACCTGTAACCTATAAGAAGAAGAAGAGGAGAGGAAAAAAAAAAAACCCATCTTCATCTTCCCCAACCCCCCTTCCTTGCAACCCACCCCTTTCTTCCCCCCTCCCATCTTCCCCAAGCCCACCGTGCACCCCATCCTCCACCTCCTCCTCTGCACCCACTACCCGCAACCCAGAAAAGAAAAGCAAAAAAAAAAGAAAAAAAAACCCATCTCCCTTTCCCTGCAACCCAGATCTCGTCGTCCCCAATGAGTGTGGATTTAAGGAGTAGGGTGTGAGGAGGGAAAAGGATGCGTTCGAGGGTGGGTGTGCTGGTTTTTTTTTTCCTCTTCTTTCTGGGTTGCAGGTTGGGCTTGGGTATGGGGGTGTGCGCGAGGGGGGGGGGGGAGAAGATGGGAAGATGGGTGCGCGGAGGAGGTGGAGATGGGTGCAGGGGAGGAGGTGGAGGATGAGTGCGGATGACAGATGGAAGATGATTTTGTTTGGGGGGGGGGTTGGTTTTTTAAAAAAAAAAATTAAAAATTATTTTTATACTACGTGGTACACATTTGGCAGCCACGTGACATAAATATGGCAGCCATGTCAGCATTTAACGGATTAATAGATGAAAAATGTAACGGAGGTATTATTTTAAAATAAAATAGTACGTGAGGTATGAAAATAAAATGTTTTAAAGATGTTGTATGAGGTTGTAATAGACCTCAAACCCGAGGGGCTACTATATAATTTAGCCTAATTTTTTTTCTAAATATACAATCTCATACATGCTCTAAAACTCATTCCATTCTTGCAAGTCACTAGAGCTTTAGACTTTGAACCCTATTCCAAGCATCAAAAGTTAGTAAATTGAAGAAAACTTTTGTTTATTGCATGTCGAAGAAATTACATTGAAGAAAACGTTGGAATGGTATAACCGTTGTAAGAAAATGAAATTGAATTACATCAGTCGGTAACAAAAGAAAAATGAATGGACGGTTCATATTGAATATGTCACTTGGTAATCACACTGTCGATTTGTTTCATACACTTAAATGACTAAACGATTTCCATCGAATGATTTTTTTTGTAGGAATGTGTGTATTACCTCATGGGAGGACGCAAGTGTTGGAAACTTATGGTTTATCGTGTGCCAAAGAAATTACATCGAAGAAAATGCTGGAATGGTACAAATGCTGTAAGAAAATTAAATCTAATTACCTTTACTTTTTTTTTTTGTTTTGAATAAACGATATCATCTACGCTAAGGGGATGAGGTAGGCTTAGCCTCACAATATGTTAACAATAATGTGGTTCAAACTTGCTTTTGGCGAGAATCGAATCTAAGACCTCTCACTTAAGTAAAGAGAAATACCACTAAATCGTACTACTAAGTGGCCTAATTAACTTTTGATTAAAACAACCCTCAAAATACAAATACCACATGACATTGAGTCCATACAAATCACTTGCAAGTTTTGCAGTCGACAATAATAATAATAATAAGGGGGAACTAATAAAAAAGTCTCTCACAATTTTTTTTTCTATAAAAGCACTTAGATAACTTTACTTATTATTAAACCATAGTAAGTGGTCTAGTGGTAAGGACGCAGATTATAGCTCCTCAATAAACAAAAAAATATGGGAGGTTCCGAATTCGATGTTCCGAGTTTGTGAGTCTGCTTTGTGGCTATGGGTAAGGTGAAATTCCTCATAGCCTCTCCGGCCCCAGAATGGATAGATAACTGTAGTTTGCCACCAATTGTCCTCATTTTTAAAAAAGAAGAAAAAAACTTTACTTATTATTAAATTTTCTTTTTATATTATAAGGACAAAAAATAAAAAGGGAGTCACACTTTCATGAGTTAAATGAAAATGTCCTTAATAATAAAAAAATTTGTCCTTCATGAGTGTTTTGAATTGAAAGAAAATGTCCTTAAAAAGGAAAGTTGTTTAAGAGTTTTTGAATGAAAAAATTATGTGGAGCTTTTTAATTACTTAAAATGTTTTTATCACAAATGGTCTTTGAAATTGACCCACCATATCAATATGGTCTTTGAAATTGAAAATCGATTAATGTAGTCCCTGAAAATTGGCATCACAAATTAATGTGATCCTTCTGTCATAATTCCACTACAAATTTCGTTAGGCTCTAATGTGGCACATATCTAGATCCAATAAGTCTAATTAAATATTATTATATGATTTAAAAATATTTAAATAATAAAAAAATATTTTTGTATAATTAAATATCAATGTTCTTCTTCTTCCCCTCACCTTCAATTACACCGACGCCAGCAAACCCAGACAGAGGAAGCTGAAGACAACGAGTCAAACAACAGCTAACCACGACAATTGGAATTGCGTGGCGGTGAATCGGCATCGGAGTCACTTGCAGTTTTTGATTTGTCGTTCAAGACCTCGCCCAAATTGAGAAAAGAGAGAAGAAAAAAAATGAGAGATGGGGAAAATAAGAGAAGTGGAAAGGAGGACTGGGTGGTGGGCGATGTCGCCGCCGACATCGTTGTTGGCTTCTAGCTGTTGCGGTCGAGGAGAAAGGGGAAGAGAATACAAATTTTTTGGTATAAAACTAAATCTCCCAGTTTGGTTTCTAGCTGCAGATGTGGCCGCGACATCATTGTTGGTTTCTTACCTCAACCTCCCAGTTTGGTTTGGTGAATTTGGGAGATAAGAGAGGAGGTTGGGTAGGGAATGGGTTGTACTGGCATAGAGGAGAGAGGGGAAGAGAGTAGTGAGAAAACTTTTTTCCTCAAATTTTAATTATTTAAAAATTATTTAATTAACTTTAATATTTATTGAATTAGTTAATCCACATTACAATATTTAATTAAATTTGTAGGATCTAGTTATATGCCACATTAACACACAGTGGCGGAGTCAGGAATCTTACCACAAGGGGTCTTAGTGTAAAAGTCCAAATAAAAATTGAGGATGGAAAAACATATTGAAAATGAAATCATAATACTTTCATTCATAATTCATAATTCATAATGGAAACAATATTACAAACTATAATTGTTCACGACGATGTTTCATATTTTGAAAACGAAGCATTATAGCTTCATTTTCAATACAAGCAAAAATATCTCTCTCAATATAAACAAGCAAGCTATCACTCAACCATTGATCTCCCATTTTGTTCCTAAGTGGACCCTTAACAATATTCATAACAGAAAATGCTCTCTCCACTGAAGCAGTTGCAACTGGTAAAACTAAAGACAATGTAATGAGCAAATATACATAATTGAATACTTGATGCATCCTTGTCTTCACCATTTTTTTTGCAAGATCACCAATCCCTTCCAATTGAGAGAAATCACTACTGGAACACACATAATGAATATAAATATCAAGTTGATCTTCAAGTGCCAAGCGATCCTCATCCAAAAAGTCTTGAGGATAAAATTGAGCAAGACGACGTAACTTTGGTTTATCAAAAGCTACAAATGAATCTTTCGAACTCAAACATACCAAACAAATAAGCAACTCAGTATTTACCTCATTAAAGTGATCCTTTAACTCCGTAATTTGCTCATCAATGACATAAATAAAGAGCTCCACACGATAATGATGACGATTTGTCCTTATTGGAGCATTACGCCTTGACCTCCCTGGAAGTATAAATGCCTCTTCCATGTTAGGAACATCAATATGATGTTTTTTTTCACAAAAAGAAGATACTTCATCAACCAATGCATCGAACCTATTATTCCTCATCCAATGTAGCTTTTCCCTGCATGATTTCACTAAAGCCATTGCATTCACAATTTCTTGATCTTTCCTTTGCAATGCTTGTGACAAATCATTTGTGAGTCGCAATATGACTTTCATCAAGAAAAGGTGAAACACAAACTCAAAAGTACGTATTTCTCTCATTAACTTATTTGCATCACCCGCACTTTCATTGGGATTATCATCAATAACCATTTGAAGCATATGAACCATATATGTAAACATGGAAATGATGCTAATCAAGGTACCATGGTGTGAGTTCCATCGTGTGTCACCGGCACGTTTGAGACTTGTTTCTTGATTTAAGCCTCGCCCCGTTATAGGACAATCATTTTCAAAAGCTATCACAAGCTCTTCTTGAAGTTGTTGTTTAAATAAATCACACCGCTTACAAGATGCTCCAAAATGATTAACCACACTATTAGCCGTTGCAAAAAAGAGGCAATGTCTATATTCTTCTTTGCTATGGCAACAAGAGCTAGATGAAGTTGATGAGCAAAACAATGAACATAATATGCACAAGGTTGTTCTCTCAATATCTTTGTTTTAAGGCCATTCAACCCACCTCTCATATTGCTAGTACCATCATAACCTTGTCCTCGTAGCTTGGAAATGCTCAAACCGTTGCGAGAAAAGAATGTGCCAATAACATCTTTTAGTGAACTTGAAGTAATGTTGGTAACATGTTGGATACCCACAAATCTTTCAATTACATGCCCATTGTCATCCACATAACGCAACACCATAGCCATTTGCTCTTTCACTGACACATCACGTGCTTCATCCACCAATATTAAAAAGAATCTATCTTTTAGATCATCCATGATAGCATCAAGTGTTTCAAGGGCACATGAATTCACAATTTCTGTTTGAATGGAATGAGCTAGTAATTTGAGATTCCCCAGAGTATTTTCCATCACAACTTCTCTAACTTTATCATCATTATTTGCAAGGAATTGCAATAGCTCCAAGTAATTTCCCCTATTGCTTGAAGTGGCACTTTCATCATGGCCACGAAAAGCAAGACCTTGTCGCAATAAAAACTTAGTGCACTTGATTGATGCATTCAAGCATGTACGATAAGCCTTATGAGCTTGGTCAGAGTGTTTGCTCACTGCCATTTCAATATATGTAGCTTGATTCATCAAATTTGTAGCAGCTTCTCTAGCCTTATTATGAACACTCCCAACCGGTCCAACATGCATCTTAAATCTTTCTCTCCCTTTCTTCCAAGTCTTAAATCCATCTCTAGTGAAATCTTCACTACCCACTTGTTCAAAATTGGTTTTAAAGAGATAGCAATAGAGACAAAATGTTGCATCTTTAGATATACTATATTCCAACCAATCAAACTCATCAAACCATTAAGGAATGAAGTGTCGATTAATTCCCGACATATTAGTTATTGGGAAATTATGACCTCTAGGTTGACAAGATCCTTTTTGTAGATATGATCTTCGGACCTCATCTCTCATACTAGCATCATAATCTATCATTTGAATTCTTAATTCAGGATCCGCTTGAAGATTACCCAAAACACTATCTAATTGACTTTGTCTTGAACTTGGAGTTCTTGAACTACCAACAGTATTTGAACTATCAACATTATTCGAACTACCCGAACCCGATGATGACTTTCTCTTAAAAAACCGTTCCATAATAATTCTACATATACAAAATATTCAAAATAAATACTCACAATATAAACAAACCATCAACATAATCAAAATAAATATGAATTGGATTTCAATTAAATTAAATATATTCTACATATACAAAATAATGAAAATAAAAACTCACAATATAAACAAACCATCAACATAATCAAAATAAATATGAATTGGATTTAAATTAAATTAAATATATTCTACATATACAAAATAATGAAAATAAAAACTCACAATATAATCAAACCACCAATATAATCAAAATAAATATGAATTAGGTTTCAATTAAATTAAATATATCATACATTATACATAGGGTTTAGAACTTACTTGAATTGTGAAATTTCACAATAACAATGTCAATGAGCAAATACAAAGAGAGTAGCTGGCGTGGCACCACCACCACAGCGATGACGACAGTAGCACAAAGGCACCTCAATGGCGGCAGCAAGGGAGGAGATGGAGTTGAGGGTTTGGGGGGGGGATTGAGTTTGGAACTTATTGTTGGAGAAGGAGAAAACAAAAGAAAATTGGGGTTTTGGAATGGGGGAGTCGGATTTGTAAAAGAAGAAGGAGAACTGATTTTTTTTTTCTTTTTAGACCTGGCCCAAAACCACGTCGGGTCATTTAAAAAAAAAATTGCCTGGGCCAAAACGACGTCGTTTTGGCCAGGTCATTTAAAAAAAAATTCCCTGGGCCAAAACAACGTCGTTTTGCCCAGGTTGTTTTAAAAAACAAAGGCCTACGCGCGGCGCCTCCTTCTCCTTTAACATGTGCCTTCTTCTTTCAGACATTCCGTCGAACACGTGGTGTGCAGCTCCGAGAGGTCGCACTAGCAGCTCCAAGGGACCTCTAAGGTTATTTCCATGGCTTCCAAGAGGTCGTACGACCCCATTGACCCCACTGTGGCTCCGCCTCTGTCAGCACATAACATAATTTTTAATGGAATTTTAACTGAACGATCACATTGATTTGCGATACCAATTTTCAAGAACTACATTAATCGATTTTCAATTTCAGAGATCATCTTAATGTAGTGGGTCAATTTTAAGAATCATTTGTGACAAAAACCCTTACTTAAACAACAATCGATGAAAACGATGCAACAAGGGAAATCGGCACCGCGGACACGACGAGTCGTGCTAGTCTACCGCCAGCCACTTATCAATGCACTTGACATGAAAAAGATGCATGCAGGGCAAGTGAACAATCCGATCTTCCTGACCATCAATCCCGCCACTCTCGAATTCCTCCCTACAAATCGTGCATGACGTTGTTCCATTAATTTCCAAACTGAGCCGCCTCGCCATTGCAAGTTCTGATTTATAACGCTTAGTCGTAACGCACACATAAAGTTGCCTTTTCATTTCGGCACCGCGTTGTTTCCTTGTCTTGTTCGTCGCCAGGTCCACCGTCCCACCCGGGGGCCCGCCGTCGCTAATTGAGTCTCCTTAAAATTCGTCAAAATCGATTTGATGATTATCGAGTATCTTTTCTTGGAGATTTCCATGGTCGAAAGAGCTTCAGCGATCAAGCGCCTTGAATTTTTACTTTCTTTGGACAAGAGGTCAGCACGTGAGAGTGTGATGTCGAGCTCTAGTGTGAGGCGTGATGGCTTGCGAGTTACTTCGGCTGGAGCACCGAGATCTTCGTCTGGCCAAATGATGACGGTTTCAATGAACCTCAGTTTCAGTCTTTCAGATGGTATTGATCGTCAACGTGCGGTTGGTAGGTGAACATTGTGATTAAAATTGTAGAAATTGAGGAAATCGAAGAAATTGATAAGCTTGGAGAATGCGGAGAGGATGCCAAATTTGTGAATACTGAGCTAGTGGAGAGGCTGTTCTATATTATATAGATTACTTCTAATTGATTTGGGAAAAGCTATGTTAATTGTTTTTTTTTGTTAAACGATATATTTTATTAGATTAGATATTAATTTAAGATACATATATTTTTAGGAAAACTAATGAAAATGGTTTGAAAACTTTGAGTTTTAACGATAATGACAAAATAAATGGTAAAGTGAATAGTACTAGGTTTGACTTTTTAGTGTAAAAATGTGATTTTTCGTTAAAGTGAACAGTACCACGAACTTTTCGTTAAAACTCCCTATATTTTTTTTTTAACAAACAAGATTATCTACATTAAGGGGTTGGAGGAGTGGGCTAAGACTCACAATAGCTACCAATAATGTAGTTCAAATTCGCTTTTGGCAAGAATCAAATCTAAGATATCTCACTTATAAGTGAAGATACATACATTAGTTATCTTTAAAGAAAATCTACAAAAGATTCAAGTACTTTAGTAACATATAATTTGACAGATGAGTACTTTAATTTATAATGAAGATACATACATTAGTTATCTTAAAAAAAAAAAAAAACTACAAAAGATACAAGTACTTTAATTTAGGGAACTGTTATTAACACTTCAAAAATCTCATTCTACACTCCTCACAAGTGTATTTTTCTTTCTAATTATAGAAAGTTTGGAGTGCACAATAATATTTGTGGAGTGCCAATAACAATTCCCTTTATTTAAAGGAAAACTAATAAAAATTTCAAATCTTTACATTTTAATAAAAAAATCATCTATCAACTTTATTTAATGATAAGGACAAAAGAATAAATATATAAATAAATAAAGAACCCAACTTGTGCTGGGCGCGACCCCCATATAAACTGATACAACAAATCCTTCATGTTTTGCTTGGTGCACGCATTGTGAACACTTAGATACGAGTTACTTTGGAGTTGGTCAAGGCACATGCCTACATAAACACGACCCCCACCCACCCCCCTTTCCACACTTCACTTTTTTCTCCCATTGTCAGCTACATTAATAGATTTTATTTTATTTTATTTTTTTGCTTAGAATAAAAAAACAGAAGATTTCAGATTGAATTACGTTTTGCAGTTTTATTTTTGTGGTGTTGTTTTTCAATAGTAGCCAAGATGACGAGAGATTTTTCAATGTGCCTGTAACACAGGATGATATACCACATGTCTCTATACAAGTAGTGAGATTCTTGTGTTAAAAAATTAATAATGTTGATGTACAAAATCAGCGAGACTTTGGAACAACGTAAAGTGTCAGGTTTGTGACCTTCGCCCAGTTGCTCCGGTCACCTAGTGAGGATAATATGTAAAAGGAGAGGATAGGGAAGCAAACACAAGATGTACGTGGTTCGTCCTAAGTTTGGCTATGTCCACGGAGTAGATGAGTTCTCATTAATAGTAAAGGATTACAAAAATACATAAGTTAAAGCATAATCATCATTAGTGGGTTCTAATGACTAGTTTAAATACAATAATGACATTAGGGATTAATTGTAGGAGAATGATCTTCTTTTATAATTGAGGAGAGTCTCCAACTTTTTTCCAAGATCAATATGGGACTCTATGAGTTTTATTCTGACGTTGACATGTGTCTTGCTGTGATTGGCTTCCTGATGAGAGGGAAACTCTTGTGCTTCGGCATGGATGCCTCAACATGAACCCCTCAGTGAGTTCTTGAAGGTATGATATTGACCGATGTTTGATATTTTTAGGTTTTGTCAAAGTATGATACAAACAAATATGGAACAAACAAATAACATAAAAAATAAAATTTCTCACCATTTACATAATGATACGTGGTGTACCATTTGTGTTACAGACATAAGGAAAAATATCCCACCACTTAAATAGTATTCAGTATTTTAATTTGGTAATTGAAAATAACCTTTTTAGATATAATTACTAAGAACATAATTTTCTTAAGGTTTTGATTAAAGGATCACTTCTGGATTCATCATTTTCGGCGTAATGGGTGCTTTTAAAGGATCAAATAGGGTCTAAGTTTCAAACTTATGAAACTGAACTAAGAATTAGACACTATTTATAAAACTTGACCAATAAGTAGACACTATATATAAAATTGGACCAATAAATAGACATTATTTATGAAACTGGACTAATAAGTATATACTATTTATGAAATGAAACCAAGAATTAGGCATTATTTCTAAAACTAAACCAATAGGTGAAAACTATTTATGAAACTAGATTATACAATATTTATGAAACTGGATCAAGAACTAGACATTATTTATGAAACATGACCAAGAATTAGACACTATTTATGAAAGTGGATCAATAATTAGGCACTATTTATGAAAGTGAACTAAGAACTAGGCACTATTTGTGAAAGTAGACAAAAAACTAGACACTATTTATGAAACTTGACCAATAAATAGTGTAGTACATTTTTCATAAATAGTGTTCAGTGTTTCATAAATAGTTTCTAGTTTCATAAACAATCTCTGTGACGGACGCGCATGTCTTTCTTTTTTTAAATTAAAATTGTGCCATTTTCATTAAAATTTAAGTTCTTTTGTCATTTTATTAAAATTTAAGGGTTTTTCATTAATATTTAATTCTTTTTCATTAAATAAAGTTATAACATGATTT